AGAAATTGGCCGAAATAAAGGGAATAAGGTCGGCTAACTCCCTTGGTATATATTCCCTTTATTTCGGCCAATTTCTATTATTTTTCCAGCGATCCACGGTGCCTGGTAGAGGCTAGTCGGGGCGACAGTAAACGCTAGCCATTACAGCCCAGGCCTGTTACAGCCGGCGCCGCGGGAATGACACAGCGGTCCACCGGCGGGTACCGTCGGGCTAGCCTGGGTGCCACCAGGCCTGGGTGCCACCCCGCGCGCGAGTGTCTATCTCCTAAGTAAAAGTCATGGGAAGCCATTATAACTCCCGGCAGACCTACTTGGCACACTGGGTCTAATTATCTCCTCGCGCACGAGGCGTTAGAGGGCTTCGCGTGGACGAAGGGGTTTGGGTGGATAATGGTAGCGGACAAATACGGTTTCTCCCGAAATCTATCGCCAAATAAACGCCGGACTCTGAGGCACCCAGGGTTAACCGTCAGGCGTGCTAACAGCAACACAACAACCCGACCCCCCAGTAACACTAACCAGCGTGCCAGGCCCTGCAGCGTGCCTTTGCCGGTACTGTGGCAGAGTGGGGCCCAGTGGGGCCGGTAAAATTCGGTGGCCAGCTGGATACGCGCGCCAGGGGGCTGTTGTTGTTAGCGGGCCGGCTAGCTGAAATGCCACACCAGCGGTATTTTCCTGGATTTGTTCCATTTGATTTCAAAGTTGTTGAAAGAATAAATAATGGATAGAGATCAACTTCTTTTTGTCTTTTTTATTGTCTTCATCTTATGTAACTGCCTTCGTATTTCAGACAGCTTATGCATGAAATTCGCTTGTACAATGTATTTATATTTTGAACATGTCTAGTTTTGACATATATCTGCTGGAGTACTCTGTATTGATAACTCAGTTAACGTGATGATAGCCGCCATCGTGAAACGCCTAATCTGCAGTACAGTAGCATATGCCTTCTGACTGGTTAAAAAAATGAAAACAAAGAAGAAATCATGTCAATAGAGCCCAAAATGGAAGATTTAAAAAATCCTAGTCAATAGTGCCAAAAATGGCACTGCTGACAGGACGATCCTGTCAACAGTGTCCTGTTATTGACAGGATCGTCCTGTCAGCAGTGCAATATTTTCTGCTATTGACAGGATCGTCCTGTCAGCAGTGCAGTATTTTCTGCTATTGACAGGACGATCCTGTCAGCAGTGCAGTATTTCCTGCTGTTGACAGGACGATCCTGTCAATAGCCTCAGGCTACCCGAATAGAATGGGAAAAGGAGGAGACTGGTCGCGTCAAAGCTCGTACATGTGTGTGCCAAGTAGCCCCCACCAGGCCTTCCGTACGGGGGTACGGATCCTAGAATTCGGTAAAAAAAAAAGAGTTGGCCAGGAGAGTCCGCGTGAGGCGGGTTAATTTCCCCTCAGCGCGGCCAGTCAAACCACAAGGCGGCCAAACTCCCCTGGCAAATATTGTCCTATATATAGCCAGCGTAGTTAGTCTGGTAGAGACTATTATGCCAAGTAGCTGCATATATGTGTAGCATCTATTCTAAATGCCCTGGAAATGCAGTTTCAACTCTAAATTTAGCCGCCAATAGTAGCTAAAGTTGCTCTAAAACCTTAAAGCATCCCTTGCCTGAAGACGTTGTCGCTCATACATGTCATTAAAACGTCTTCAGGCAAGGGATGTCTTTAAAAAGACAACTAGACTAGTGGGAGGAGTTACTCACTTTTCAGTACCGTCTTCTCTCCACCAAAGCTCGATCCTCGACCAGCAAATTGATTCCCTGTTTTCCAATCGGCTTCGCTGTTGGATTTTTAGTGTCCGAGGATTACTGAAATTAGATTTACTGTGGCGGGAAACTGACAAGAGTCGTTTGACACCATGGTAACGGCGACGGTGTGACATCTGAGGTAACCTCTTCCAGATTGTACCGTGATCCTTTGGGCTGCACTCTCCGGACTTCACACAGGGGAAACAGGACTGTTTTCCAGCGTCCGTCAAAGTCACCGACCTATTCAGGTAAGTAGAAACGTGTCTCTCGTAGGCGAAATGCCCCACAAATCCACAATGTAGTCCTAGAAGGGGTCCTGCAGGGGGGGGGGGTCCCGACAATGCTCTACGCTGAATTCGGAAACCTCTCGATTACGCTTTACGATAAATTCCAAGTGGCTGTACGCAAATTTCGCTAGAATTACAGCGGTCCGTCTACGCTCTACGTAGAATTAAAACGGCCGATCACGCTCTACGGAAAAGGGCTTGCGGGCCCCCATAGAACTATGCTATAATTATGCTACCACAAAACAGAACACTGAACGCACTTTGAACAGTGTCCTATTATATAATATCTCATTGTCTCCATCCTTACATGCGGTTGTCAAGACGATCGACGGACGTTATTTTTAGCACTCATTACAAACAGAGCGTGCTATAACTGTACCATTGTCGTACATAAAAGACTCTACACTTGTACAGTCCAGTGTAGTGAAAGATTCCAAACTTGATCCCACGGTAATTACAGTGGCTTCTGGTTATAATATATGATAGTCCCGTCACTCATTCTCGTGTATGAATCGATATCTAACATCTGTGTCCATAATATCACACCATAGTCCATAATATCGCCACCTTGAGAAAAAGTGTGCTTAAACTTTAAAGATATTTTACTGCAACATACCTATGGTATGTACATTTGAGGCGTGCAGGGGTGCATACCAAAAGTATGTTGCAGTAAAAATATCTTAAAGCACACTTTTTCTCAAGGTGGCGATATTATGGACCCTGGTGATATTATGGACACGGATTTTACTACTATTCGCTCACTAACACTGATTCAACGCTACTACTTGTCACAATGCTTAAGAAGGAGAAGAGAGTAAGTATATAGGTGTGACGGCCTGGGTCAAGACAACAGAGACATGGATCACACACGATTCTAGCGTGCTGAAAGGGATTCGATGTGGATTTATTTGCAATTCAGAAGAAAAGACGACCAAAAATTATTGACTGTGACGTGTAAGTCACATTTTTACTATATGACATTGCAAAAAAAAATCTGTAAAAGTACGCAATGCTATCCATAGACGAATACGACTCTTTACGTAAGCGTAAGGAATTCAGACCAAAACTGGACTGCAACAATTCCTACCGTGACAAAGAATTCTACCTGAAATTGGAGGAAATTGACCTCACGGTAATCTTGGAAGACCAGGCCAAATTCCAAGACCATATGACCAACTGAAGGTCGAGACACGGGCGGTCTAGGTCAATGTCTTAAGAAAACCAGTCCCGACGTAAGAACCCCGAGGGTGTAAGGCATCCACCGTTCGGACATCTTGGCACATCCCTCGGAAATAACTCTTGTATCTTACCTGAGGACAGGTTCCAGATCAACATAGCGTTATCAACATAGAAGCGACGTCCTAAGAGTAACTTCTTCCCAATAACCATTGCTTACAAAACTAGAGTTCCACGATCTCATACCTTCGCCAAATGATGTTAGCTTTTATGATTATAAGAAATTATATATTAATCCCCCAAATTATGCAAATAGGATCCTCAATTGCATGAATTATATCTGTTGATCATATTCTCCACCAAAAGACAGTTTTATCTTAACAAAGAATGCCATGATGACATTTTCTCATAAATTATGCAAATGAGGCCCTTATTTGAATAAGTTATGTTTAATTATGTTCACCTTAACTTAACTTTCAAACACCCCAAGTATAAAATTCCAGGCAGTTACCACTATGCAATTATAATATTTTCTCATTAATTATGCAAATTAAGTCTTCATTTGCATAATCCATATCTGCCTGTGTTTCTCTCATTCTTAATAACATATGTCACAAGCTTGAACTTCCTATTATGGAATGCAGCTGATAAATAGAATTTCCTCATTAATTATGCAAATTACATCCATATTTGCATAATTGTAATATCATTATGTCAAGCATCACTTAAGCTACCTACATACCAAAAATCATGATGATCCATCAATCGGTTCTTGAGTTATCCCCCTTGAAACATTTGTCCATTAAACCCCCCTGCAGTTCTAGAGCAAGCAACTAGGGGGCTCAAACTCATGTCACTTCACCCCCAGCACAAGAGCTATCTACCAACCAAATTTCGTCACCCTAGCATGTCTAGATCATGAGATATCAAAACCGGATGTTTTGCTGCAGTACCATGACAAGCCGCCAGGTGGCCCAAAATCTAATCATTTTGAGGTCTCATCAAGACCTACCCACCTACCAAGTATCGAGACAATCCATCAAGACCTTCTCAAGTTATCGTGTTTACAGACACACACACACACACACACACACATACACGAACGCCCCTGAAAACATAACCTTCTTGGCGAAGGTAATAACTCCTCCCATCACTACTTTTATACTTCTTTTGGTGTTTCTACTTTTCTCATTGATAAAAACTCTGTGTCTGAAGACGAGACTCTCACCACCCAAGACGCCCACGTTTCTGTGTCTTTCACTTAGAAGGAGCTTGACACCTTGCTTAATTGGCTTTCATTTTGTTCTTAGTCTTACCAAGTGTCTCCTCCCACTAAACAGGTAAAGCCCGACATCTGATCTAGATATGCCGCCTCCTTTAAACAGACAGTAGGAGTGAATAAGAGGCCTTCCTCGTTAAAAACGAAAAAAACTTCAAAGAACACCAGAATACAATTATAATCATCCTGAGATGGGGGCCTGCATGGGGGGGGGGGGTCCCGACAATGCTCTACGCTGAACTCGGAAACTTCTCGATTACGCTTTACGATAAATTCCAAGTGGCTACACAATGCATCACATAGTATCAAAACGGCGAATACGCTCTACGCAAAATGCGCCCAATACACTCTACGTTGAATTAGAGCGGTCCGTCTACGCTCTACGTAGAATTAAAACGGCCGATTACGCTCTACGGAAAAGGGCTTGCGGCCTGAGATTGCAGACCCTTCTGTGATCTTGTGTATCTGCCCCCCACCCCCTCCCCCAAGACGTTTGATCCTCACGACTATCGTGTGTCCGCGACATAAAATCTGAGAAGCCCCGGCCCACTTAGGGAGTCAAAGGCCGCGAACCGCTCCTGTGGTGGGGTTCAGATGACCTTGAACGGTTGGCTGACATTGTGAAGAAAATGGCATCTCTGACAAATAGAAACCGTGTGCATGTAGCAGGCTCACAAAGCTAATTACGGGTGTCACTTTAACCTAATTATAGCATGTGAAGAATCTAGTATACCAGAGTCAGACAAATTGTAGTTGCCTTTTTCGCAGTCGATAGATGATGTGAACCTAGAGGTCACTATAGTCGTAAAGTTGATGGATTGACGACGTTTCAAGTGCCCAGCTGCATGCCGGGAAATGAGGCGGAACGTTAGGTCCCGGCATGCAATGTGATAGCAGGTCGTCGTCGGTTGATTGGCAGCATATGTGTGTTTTAGGAATGGCGTAAAACACTTGTGTTTCTTTGATACGACCTCGACGCAACATTTTCTTGAAAAGTTTTCAAAAGGTTTTAGATGCGGAAAGAATGTTAGCAGGCTTTACAATAAGATAACAGTACAGATAGACAACTCTTTATTTTCATTCCTTCACATTTTCTTCTTGTCCTTTGGAATGGATTTTGGCATTCTGCGACATAAGTATCGTTTTCCAATATTTTTTTCTTCAATTTACGGCATATATTTGCTCATTTTGCAGCTACTTTGTACGATTTACAGAATTTTTGAAAACCTTTTTTTTTCAAACTGACAAAAATTCATGCGCGCGTGGATGTCATTCATATAATCAAATCATCATGGCCTTATGACAAGTTATGTTCACTTTATATAGGTTCATTTCGTGCGCTTCCTTGCGGCACGACTCATTACTACAGCTAGAACCCTACTGTTTGTACATAACGTATAACACGTTACAATGATAGCAATCATAAAAAATTGCACCAACAGTCTACTGTTCACCATACCATACTCAAGTCATTTGTTCAACCCTCATAACCACGCACATTTCATAATGAAGGCAACTTTTTTTTGGCCAAACTTTTTGTCTATTCGCACACTCGCATCAATTTTGGGGTTCCCAATGATGTTATCCATATAATCAAATCAGCATGGCCTAGACCTCACGAAAGTAAACTGTCCCGTCTGGAGTCCTGCGGCGTTCTCCCAAAAAGCACCTGTTCTGGAGCGCACCATGCGGCCAGGGGGCATTTCTGCAGGGTCACTGCAAATGTCAGCAAAGGCCCAGTAAACAGTGAAGTCCCACGCGCGCCAATCTGTCCTCCCTACCGCCCACCTGCACTACTGTAGCATCGGTCCTGGCCCACTGTCTGTCATCTAGGTCAGTGCATATACATACAGATCCTCCGGGCCTGGGGATTGTTTCAACTTATCGATATTATTCACAGAAAACATTTGTTCAGCGATCAGTTTCGCCAACCCTGAATACAAATTCAATTTTGGGGCATAAAAGTCATATAGGCTATCCGTAAACACTACAAGTGACTTCTGTGTTGTTGCCATGTGGCATGTGGAACAAACAGACTTCTCTTCCAAACAAATTTGCCGGACGATCCCTGGTCTTGCTCGAGCGGCCCTGAGTGCTCTTGACTCTAAACGTTTTGCACTTTTACGGAACAAAGCTCGGGGTTATATTACTAACATCGCTACTTGTTAAGTGTCCTTGGCATGACCTAATTTTTCCGCAAGGCTCGTACGTTTTCGTCAAAGAAAACTGAGTAAATTGGATCTCCATTTCATTTCCTTTCCTCTCATGTCGTCCGTGTCCATCTTGATTTGTTGTTGCCATGGTGACACAAAATTGCTGATCCTGTTGCTATGGCAACATTTTTCAGGTTCGATCCACGTGAGTGGGATTGCTAGCTATTCAACTACGGGGAAGCCGTCGGCCAGCATGGGCGTGCTCAGCAGCGTCGGTGCGACGTCTTTCCTGATGTCAGCAGTCCTCCTGCAGACGATAGTCGCCCAGGAGGTGACCTATGCAGGCCACAAGGA